TGAACGTGGGAGAATTTCACTGATTTTAAGAGGATTCATAGTTAGAATTGAGTTAGGACTACAAAATCAACACCAGTATTAGTCAAAGCCAGGAGGACATCATATAAACCAAATTTAGCATGCAGTAATTTGCAACAGCAGACAACAGTGTTTCCCAGCACAGACAGAAAACCATGCAAGACTACGCTAAGTATTTATATATTACTGGTGAGGAGAAAGACTTGTTGCTCATGTACTAAAATGCTGAAAAAGTTATTTGTATTCCTGAGTTCTGAAATGTATAAAACATATGTCAATGTTCTGATACAATAAAAATGTCTAGTAATACAGGATAATACCTAAATGTAAGTTAATGTTTGTTCTGCTCTTACCATTTTACCAAACATACTTTTTTTTAAAGTAAGAATGCATGAAACTATAAATTTAATCAGCTGATTAAGAATGAAAAGATAAGAACCAATTCTTTTTCCACAATAACACAGTAGCACAATCTACAATGCGGAAACTTGTAGGCATTAAATTGTGATCCAGATGTTTTGGGGTAAATATATATATCTGATATTGACCAGAAAACTAGATTACAGCCTAACAATAAAGGTGTAAAGTACCTAACTTTTGTTGATAAAGTCAACATGAACAGCAACGTTAGAATAGGTGTTTCTGGTGCCAATATAGTTTCTAAAACATTTGAAAATATGAAATGGCATACTCTGAATGCTCAGTATCTTGATTATTGTTTTAATATTCTCTCTCCTTCTGTTCCAGAGATTGAAAGCAGCACTGACTCATCATCCTGCAGCCATGTCAAATGGAAATATGAACACCATGGGCCACATGATGGAAATGATGAGCTCTCGACAGGACCAGACACCACACCATCATATGCACTCACATCCACATCAGCACCAGACACTGCCATCTCATCACCCATACCCTCATCAGCACCAGCATCCAGCACACCATCCTCATCCTCAGCCCCATCACCAGCAGAACCACCCACATCATCACTCCCACTCGCACCTTCATGCACACCCGGCACATCACCAGACTTCGCCACACCCGCCGTTACATTCGAGCGGACAAGCACAGGTAGAACTGTTCACAGAATTGTCCTCTGTTCCAGAGGAAGTTTAAAAATGGATGTCTGTTGCTTTCATATGCACATGGTCTCCAAAATGAATCTTCTGCTGCTAATAATAAGTTTACTCTGCTGTTGGCTGTGAAGTTGCAAACTCTTATTCAAAACACGCCAATTTACTCAGAAACAAGAAACTTTATTTCGAACCTCTGTCATGCTAGTAGGCAGCCCTAAGATCTGTTTAAGCTGAGATATCTACAAATTGCCAAGTGTCATTGATATTCTTGCTATCTGATGGAGTTTGGCACACTGGGTACTGTTGTCTAACAGGTTGAGGTCAAGGTTTTAAATTCTTAGAAATTCAGTCCTCAGAGATGGTGACATAACTACCAAAGATGTAAATGACATTGCACATGCATATTTGAGGGAACACCTGTCCCTTGGATATATGTTATTTTTATATAGTATAACAACCTTTGCTCACAATATCAGAAAGCACTTTACAATGAGAGTCAGTTATAAGATGACATAGAAAAATAAGTATTTAAATAGAAATGTCTTTAAATTAAATCTTCAGATCTATAGATACCTTTACTTTGATTCTGGATCCATTTTTTTTAGCTTGCACTCATTTCTATCTGAGAAACCAAACCAAAATGAATTAAGAGCTGAATGAAGTAGAACTTGGATGAAGTTCAAATAGAAATCTATACCTCAGAAAGGCAATATGTTACATATATAATTTTAAGGCAAAAATGAAAGATATTAAAGCTTTGAAGGAGAGAATAATTCTGGACCTTGTAGATGGAATACTTCTGGTGATGGAGTGACTTTCAGCTGTGCAAAGTTACCTAACTGAGATAGGGATTAACTGAAGGAGCAGGTGAAATTTAGTAGGTGAATGTTATAGCATGGAGAGAGGAGGTGGCCTGTCCATGAAGTGAAATTTAAACCTGAAAGGTAATGTTGAATTTAATTCAGGTGTTGGCAAGCCAGTGAAGATAAAGAAAGATGAAAGGTCTGTGTTTTTAGACAGAAAGATGTCTGGCTTCAGCCGGCTGGATCATTTGCTATTTAAAGAACAGGGATCTAGGAAAGCTGTTAGCTGAAAACTGTAGTAGTGAATTCATGAACAAGAATTTCAATAGAATCTACATGAATTCTGGTTGTTTTAAAGTGGTGATAAAATTCTATACCATGGAAAAGTATAGATGAAAGAGAAAAGTATATTAATCATGACTTCTGAATGTGAGGCCTTGGGAGCAAAGTTCAGAACTGTGTTGAGGAGGGTAATAGTGAAATCACATATAGCACATAGGGGATGTCTTACGTCTAATGGGGAGTTGGATTCGTGAAGATTTTTGATGCTTACAAGTTCCTCAAGGCAAGCTATTGGAAAACAATGGAGATATGAAAAATGAGAAGATATGGTTGATATTCCAGTATCCCACAACATTGACTATTCACTGCCTTGTTTTCCTATTGCTCTTACTGCAGCTACATAGGATTTCCCTATAATGTCAATTTTAGAGGCGGCAGCTAAATAAGAAAACCTTGGTGTTGATCACCATAGAGAAAGCTATTAATAAATTAAATAGTCTCATTGATTTAATGGGAACAGGATGAAGTTCCAGTTTGAGCTACCATTGTATTAATTGCCTACCAAAAAGGAAAGTAGTACACCTGTGCTAAGACATGCCAGTCTAATGAGCTAATTAGCATGCCACCTGGTACAGGATTTTGTGACTGGTAGTAAGGGCACCCTGCCCCTGATAAGTGCTCAGGACATGTAGTAGCTGCATCTTATACCCCTCTGAATGCTTGCAACCCCCTCTGGACTTCGGTCCAAAAGGAGTGTGAAGAGTTTGGAACTGAATGCAATATTAATATTGGCCACCAACACACCATCCTCATCCATCAGCTGGGACAGGCGAGGCCTTGTAATCAGGCCTAATTGTTACAAGGAGGTTGAGAACTACTGGTGGAAGGCTAAGTAGTATTCTAGGATCCATAAGTCAGCTGCTTGCCTAGACCACAAAACAGTTTTACCCTCTCCTGGGACACAAGAGCTATAACCCTTTCTAAAAGGGTGCATTAACAGGAATAAAAGGAGGGTTTAGCGAGTAATAAACACAAGGTTATTACTTTCTAAGACCATCCATAATCCCCCTGATATTGGCCTCTCTGGGGGTCAGATTGCTTCAACAGACATTAATTTTATGGTGCATTTTACTAATTATTAACTTCCTCATTCCACTGAGCCGGATACCTCAGTTCCAAGCTGCCTGTCAAACAAAGGCATGAGCTGAATTGTTGTGTGTGCTGCATGCCCTTTGCCATAACTTTCATTATTCTACACCATACCCTTGTGTAATGTCAGAATTAATTTCATGCTTTTCAACAGCCAGTTTGAGACACACATGAGCCTAATGAATTATGTTTTGCTAAAACGAATGAATGACTACTAATACTGTGTTAAGTTACAAAGAATAAAAGAAAGTATTGGATCAAGGATCAAGGTAAAAATGGTTGTTTAATGTGTCCCTTTATTAGTGATAAATGTTTTGCTTTATGGTGGCTGGTTTGCCTCAAACATTACAGAAAATTACTCTAGTATTGTTATGTTTGTTGCATCAAAATTTCTTCCTATCAAACTTGCTGCTGTGACAGCTTAGGCACAGTCAGATCATTTGTATTTTGTTATAGTATATTACCTGTTCTGTGTTATTATGAATACCTGATAAGCAACCCTTAACAATGTATTAATCACTTTTTTTTTTAGTAGCACATGCAATCACATGGGGTGGAAGGCTTTGAGGGGGGAAGCCCTGCTGAAGAATAATGCTTAAACTATTATCAAGATAAGGCCTAATAGACTTCAGGGTCAAAATATATCTAGGATAATTCAATTAACTATCCCACATGATACCAAGAATGGTGCAGCTTTTCCAATTCATATCTACCAAAGATGGAAGGGCAGTGTTTTGTAAGTTTGCCTCAGTTACCCAACTACAGATTTCTTCAACTGAAAACTAAATGAGCCACTATTTATTCAGGATAGGGGATGCTAGGAAAAAAGTTTTTATATAGCAGCCCTGTATGTCAGTATTACAGACATGACTGGCAGAGCTGAAAAACAGAAAAGCTTTTCATGCTGGATGAAAAAGGAGAGAGAAATGGACTAAGGAAAGCTTTGGTGTCCAGAAAAATAAATAACAGTCCTTTGAAGTCTCAAAAGGTGTTGTATGTGAAAAAATGAAAGGCCTTTGATGTTATGTTGACATTAAGAGAGATCTCTGAGACCTCTGTATTCAGACATGTTGCTAAAGAGGCAGCATGAACAGCCCCAGTAGATGTGAAGCAGCTGCCATTGCTGAACAGTAAGCGCCTTCAGGGAGTAAGAGAGCACTTGGTGCTAAGGGCAGACCCACAGTCCTCCTCCCGAACGCCACTGAGTGCAATCACTCCATCTACATGAGCAAGCTCCACCAATGTGAAGAACAATATAAACTGTAGTGTAGATGGGGTTAGGGAATTTTTACTAGCGTGTTTGAATTAATTGTCTAAAAATTCAGTTTCTAATGGGCATCCTTCAAATAGTAAGTTCTGGCTTATTAAAAAATAACCATCTTTAAAGGAAGTTTTCACTGGTTTTATTTCTCATCTATATCTGTTTCCAGGGTTTTTGAACAAGGGTGAAACTGATTCTGATTGTATGAGGTGTGGGGAAGAAGTGAACTTGACTATATGAATTAAGTGCTCTGAAGTGCACAGATTAACCAAAGTAAATAAAAAATAGAGAAAAAAAATCATATTTTTTTTCACTATTATCAAGTGTATTGCTATTTAGCATGAAGCCTTCAGATAGAAAATTTATTTTGCAGGGTTGGACACCAAGGCTTATGATTTTGATAATTCAGGTTTCCAGCAAGTTCTAAATTTCCGATTCAAACAGTAGCATGATTAATGCTGGGATTTTTCAAAGATGATTAATGACATGGCTGCACAGTAAACTCGCCATGCTGTGCAGTGGCACCTTCCGACATGCTGTATTGCTCCATGTGGGCTGCCTCCTAAATTGCAAGAGATCACATCCACGTGACACTGCAGGCAAGTTAATTAGCATGGAGGTGGGGACTGGGCTAATCACTGCTGAGTGACAGTGTCAAGCTGAAGCACTGCACAGAAGCAGCTCTACTGGTTTCAGTATTGGAGACAGCCTGCTTGAAACTACATAGCATGGGTGAGAGTACTGCTACTGCACACACTAGGTTTACCATGGAGACATGACCATACACCAGTATACTGATGGGAAAACAGGTACTACATACAGCATCTCCAAAGAGGTGTTCACCACCAAAACATGCACTATGGTATATGTGAAATAGAAGTGACCTAAAAGTATGACCATAATTAAAAACTTCCAAGGCCCTTGCAGTCTTCTCCTTTGATTAATTAAAAAACTTGCTATGAGAAAACTAACCTCCCATGTTGAATCAGGCACTTTATAAGGATACATTTTTAATAGCTAAGGAAGGAAAAAATGTAATTTTCCCTGCTGCAGTTCAGAAAACCATTCCAAAAATCCTCTCCTTGACTAGGTTGGGCATTTGTCATAGGCTAATTTAAGTGGCATCTGGTGGAATCTTTCACTCTGTGCCATCTTTATATCTTGCCAGAACATCTGCAAACTTAGGCCAAACATTGGTGATAATTTTTGTTTAATGGTTCCTCCTTCCCCCCCCGCCTTTTTTTTCTTTTGAAGCACTTGATATTGGCTAGAGCTCACCTACCCACCCTCTTTGCTAAACTTTGTTTTATTTCATCATAAGGTTTCACCAGCGGCACAGCAGATGCAGCCCACTCAGACAATACAGCCGCCTCAGCCCACTGGAGGGCGTCGGAGGAGGGTGGTGGATGAAGACCCAGATGAGAGGAGGCGAAAATTTCTGGAAAGGAACCGAGCAGCTGCTACACGCTGCAGACAGAAGAGGAAGGTCTGGGTGATGTCACTGGAAAAGAAAGCAGAAGAACTCACCCAGACAAACATGCAGCTTCAGGTGCGAGCTACTGTCTGCATCCTCATGACACAGAGGCCCTGTTTACATTGAAAGGCTTTTGCTGTACCACTGGTTCTTGTTAACATAAGTATTACCACTGCACGTTAGATGAATAGTGAAAATATAGACATAATCAATGTGTGTTAATCAAGATATATGCTTAAATAAATAAATATATAAAAATTTTAATGCAGTAGAATCAGCCAGGAAAAATGATCTCGAGATTTAGAAGCTTTACTAGGCTGAGTGACGTATTTAAAAAAAAAAAAAGTGACAAGGGGAAAAAACCCCCAAACAGTTGGTAACTCAGCTATAAAAGACTACTTCTGTAAGAAAAAAAAGAACACTGCTACATTTTAATCCAAAGCCAGCCAGATGCAGTTCTAATGAGAATCGCCTGTTGGTAAGGGAACAAAATGGATGGAAATCATCTGAAAACAGTAAATAGTAAAGGTCCTAGCATGTTCTCAAGTTCAGTAAATGTAGGTTGCCAGGACTCACTAGTCCATAATTATTTACATAATCATTTATTTCTTAAATGCATCAGCATGGCTTACCTTGAGCAGAATAGATCCACGTGGAGCTTTGCACATTGAGTCTTGTAACATCTCTGCTGTCATGGTGGCATATTCTAGATGGCAGCAGCTGGGCTTGTCTACACATGCATTTGATTCTGGATCAGTTTACTCATGAGTAAACTACTTGCTAGTAAACGCTCCTGGGCAGGCATCTACTCATGCAGAGAAGCGGGGTCAGATATGCTGCTAATGGCAGCAAACTGTTTCTGCTTCCTGGGCTCCTGCAATGGGCTCCTGCCACCATCAGGGAGAGCTCTAGGCTCTCCCTAGGTACTAGCTCAAAGGCTGGCAGGGAGCACCAGGTCAGGAGACAGGAATCTTCTGGTCAGGGCTGAGACATTACACCCTGCCCCCAGGGGCTGCCTGCTGCCAGGGAGAAGAGGGGACAATGTTCCCCTGACCTGGCAGCAGGGAGCTCCTGGCTCTGGCTCCCCAGTCAGGGGCAGGAGAGGAGCAGGTCCCAGCCCTTTGCCCTGATCTGCCAGTGGGGCAGCTAGCAGCTAGCTGTGGGGAACAGGCTAGGGAGCTTGTTCCCTGCCCAGCTCCATAAGCATAAGCTCATGCGCCCTTATGCGCACATAAGCATGGAGCTGGGCAGGGAACAGGTCCCCAGCCCCCGTCAGCAGGGAGCTCCCACCACCAGCTCCATGGTTGAGATCCTTATCTCCCAGAGCCAGCTCAGCAGTCATGGGGCCAGCACTGGGAGATAAAGATCTCCCAGTCCCCATTCCCCAATCATGATTTCAGAATGGGAGGCTTGGAGCTCCCTGCTGCCAGGGCAGTGGACATAATCCCCACCCAGACTCCGGTGGCGGAGTCCACCCCACAGCACGAGCACTACTATACCATCACTAATCAAAAGTAAATTTGCTACTTGCATTTGCAGGTAGCAAATTTACTCGTGATTAGCAAGGTTTACTCTGTAGTAAGGAGATCCACATGTTGACTGCACAGGAAACTACACTACTTTTGTAGTTAAGCATCTCATCTTCATGTGCCTGCCATGTACAGTATTGGGCCACCATTTGGTCTAAGGGCCATGTTTTAGCTTGCCCTGTCTATACTGAGAACAATACTTTCTTTGATTTAAAACACTGAAGGAAGATGCTCATGTGGTCACAACACAGCTCTCTGCACTTACTTGTTTGCCTACAGATGGCAAGTTTCAGTCAGTGAATAGAAAATAATTTTAAAAAATCCCACATCATATACCTGTGTGTTAATGTAAAGTATGTGTATGACAGATGTCTGACTTTCAGATTTTATTCAGTTAGCGAGTTCTGAATGTACTGAGTTTTATCAGCTTGTTTCAAGATGTGCTGCAAGGCTCCTAGGCTGACTGCATCTCTCTATGGGGATGGTAATCTCATAACTGACTACCCCAGCTTTATGACACCTTGCACAAGCACAGCAACACAAAGAGACCATATTGCAACTGAGGACCAGGATTGTTGTCTTGCTGCACTTACTGGTTTTGAAAACTCAGTCACAGAATTTTGCAGTTTTATATTTAGTTTTTTATAAAATAATAACAACAAAAATAATAGTTGTTATTAATAGCAGTCTAGTTTTTCAGGAACACATTCAAATAAACTAAATACCTTTTTCTCCCTGATTAATAGTGCAATATCTTCATCTGTGTGAGACAGAGAAAGAAAACTGAATAAATCCATAGAAATTGCCTTGCCTTTTGAGTGGCCTCACAACTGAGCTGTATATTCACCAGCTAATAGGGACATATCTCAATAGAAGTTTCTGGAGATAATATTGCCGATCATTAAACAACAACCCTTCCCCTCTTTTTGTTGTTTTTTTAAGTGCTAAAGCAGGCAGTCCCACAGGTTTTTAAATTAGCAGACACAACCTCAGTCAAAGTTGGGTTTGGAACAGGCTGGGGGGAAGGGGAGAGGAAGCAGTTCCTGGACAAACCCAGGGTCTGTTGGTTTCAAGATGAACCAATCTTTATGCTCATTCAAGAGAAATGAGGTTTCGCTGATTGCAAATTTTAATAATTTGGTGACAAATTAGTCCTTTTTATACAAAAGAACATGTTATATATTATGCTAAATTACACTATATCACTTGTGAATTAAATATACCTGTTGAAAACCCATTGAAACATATTTACAATATACTACTGTAATGTCGGTGGATGCTGATCCCTCTAGGGCTAAGAACAAGTAAATGCAATGAATTATGAGTGAATCAGCCAAAACCAGTTTAAAAGGTATGGAAGATACAAGCCAAAATAGTGATTTCTCTAAGTAAACTCCCCTACATGATGTATGAGTCATTTCTCTCTCTGATATAACTTACGATGCTAGGAGTCTATATTTGTGAGCTAAATCAGAGTAGGTTACTTTTTAAAAAGTAAAATGACAAATTCATGATTTTTATTTTAAAAAATGGTATATCATAAGTATCTGGCCCCAGCATTTTATAATTTAAATGTCATTTCTTAATGTTTTAGTTTTTCTTTTTAATGTTTTCCATTATAAAAAGCAAATGGACCTGTCTGAGATGCACAATATTGCATATAGGATATACTGTATATTCAGAAACAACAATAGCACTAAACATACTAATGTGACAAAACAATAAATGGAAACGAATCATAATCTACTACATTTTGAGAGCTGAGGTTAATAGAAGTATTCCAGATTTGCACTGATGTAACAGAAAAGATTTCTCCCAATATCTGTGATGGAAAAAAAAATCTTATGCAACCCCATTGCTGTAGTTACCTTGACAAGAGCACAAACATGAGAAGTCTTGCTGATTTGTTAACTTGTTTCTTCCAGCTTTTAAGTTAAAAGTCTCTCTCTCTCTCTCTTCTCTAGAATGAGGTTTCCATGTTGAAAAATGAGGTAGCACAGCTGAAACAGTTATTGTTAACACATAAAGACTGTCCAATAACAGCTATGCAAAAAGAGTCACAAGGATATCTAAGTAAGTAACTGGTGTGTTTTGTGTTTATCTATAGTTATTCACAAGAACCCCAAACAAAGGTGCCAGTTCTTCCCTCTACATTTGCTTGTTATTTAGTACTTTCATTTGAACCAATCTTTCTGAACATCAGAGTATTAAGGGTTGAAATAAAATATCTAGAGATAAGTACATAAATTAAAACGAGCAATTTTAAAACTGATATACCCTCCCAATTCTGCAGCTGACTTTTTCATGGACAGGAGACTTCTGGGTTGCTCACTTGCAGACTGGGGCCATATGTTTTAACTAATTATGATATCTCTCTTTGTAAAATATGCCACTTATTATTTATTTATCAAGCTCCAACCAAAAATAGTATTTTATGCTTCAAATAAATAAATAATGTTTCTGCCTCCCCCCCCTTTTATTTATTTCTTTATTTATTGAACTCAAAGCTCCAATTCTACAACTATACTACTGGGCACAATGCTGCTGATGCATTAAAATACCTCAGGGCTGTTCCTTGACTGGGTGCACTGGTAAGTGAAGTAATGGTGGACTCCAAAGGGAATAGACAAACATATCTGTAAATCACTTTAAAAGGGGAGGGAGAGTTACCATTCAGAAGTACGCATCAGATGTTATGATGTGTGTGCATGATTCTGTAAAAATACAAACAAGCTAAATGGCTCTTTGACCCTGAGTGAAGCAAGGTTAAAGTTTGGACACTTTTGCTTTGTTTGTATGGGTTCAGAACCATTGAGCTACAACATTTACAGCCTAAGGGTTCAGACAGAAGAGCAGCTCCTAACTGTAATGCAGAATGATTTCTGCATAACATTCTGAGTTACACTGTTACCCCAGACCAAACAGAAGTTCACTGTTGGTTCCAGGGGGAAGGGGAATCTAGCTGCAGGCTGGGAGCTGCAGCCAGGTGCCCGTAGCAATGGCCAGGGCTCTCCGCCAGTGCTTGCTGTTTCAGAATGGGAGGGGAGAAAGGCAGCAGAGGGAGCCTCTGCTCCCTTTACCCCATCTTATTCTGAAAACAGTGACAGGCTGAGAGCTCTGCAGACACAGATTACGGAAGACCCTACATTTTGAAAGGGATATGTGGGGTAGCTGTGTTGGTCTGACACAAAAAGAAATGTACAAATCTATAACTCTTGGTTCTAAAATGCTACCTTTTATTAGACCAACTGAGAAATTGCAAAAAAAAATGCAATTCTGGGCTCATGCGCCCTTCATCAAAGCCTGATCCCTGAGCCTGACGAAAGGTGCATGAACCTGACAGCTTGCAGAAAACAATGTTTTTATTTTGCAAGTGTCTCAGTTGGTGTAATAAAAGGTACCATTTTGGAACCAAGAGTTCTGGATTTTTGCACTACATTTTGAAACATCTTTATCTGATACCTCATGCAATGAGGGGTCAGATTTTCATCTGACTGGCCATTTTTAAGCAGTTTGTAGCCATGCACTTGTGTTTGGTCACAGCTATAAACTGCTTTTTGTGGCCAGATTGGGCAAAAATTGTCACTTCTGACTAAGAGCATAAATCAGTATCCTTTGATAATCGCTAGTGTTGTTACCCCTGTTTACTGCCCTAACCAATTCTAATCATGGACTGAAAAATAAAAGGAAACTATCATTCCCTGAGATTGGTGTAGCTGAGTTCTACAACTCTCTCTCTCTCTTGAATGTTCCTCTCTCATTTAAAAAACAAAACACTAACAGAGAGACTGATGACAGACAGAGAAAACAATCCAAACTTGCCTTATAAGTGTGGTAAGTGAAGGGCAGATTCCCTATTCAGCATAGCAAAAGGAGACTCTTGGCTCCCCAGTTCCCTGTCTGGATCTAGAGCAGGCTAGAGCAGCCCCGGGGCTGTTCTAATATTTGCCAGATGGCAACATTTGCTTAAAGTAAAAAATGAGCTAGAATGCAATGTGCCAGCCACACCTCCAACACAAACACACGTTCTTCCTGCATTGGAGTCTTCAGGGAGAGTTATATAGGAGCCAGCTGCATGCCCTCTAGGGGTTTCTTACATAAACATGGGAAATAGAGCCAGTTTCCATCCTCTCTTCACCACAGTGTATCTGGCCTTTTCATGCCAGTCAAAGAAAAATAGAATTTCATTATATTTAGTACTATAATTTGCTTAAACGACCTCTTCTATATGGTGGCACACTGCACTGTAATGCAGCCAATAAAGCATTTCAGTAACCCAGTGTTATGAACTATTGTGTCACAAATCTTATAATATTTGGCCTTTAAGGCTAAGTACAGACAGTCAGAAAGCCTGAGGCTGAAACGATTCAATCTTGAAAGCCTCCTTAGTCTAAGCTGCATGGGTTGAACTAATAACCAACTGAACTGACATTCAGTTTTCAATTGGGAAAGGCAGGGAGAGGTCTGCACTGACCAAGGTCAGTAGGTGGGGGCACTAGAATGCATCTCCCAGCCTGCTGGCCATTGCCAGCCCAGCCAGGTGTCCCCAAACCCTTGCTGTCCCCCCACAGAGGGCTAAGGAGCCCCCTGTCCAGATGCTGGCCTGACTTTGGGGAGCCTGTTCAGGTGGTTTCCCCCAGCCTGGGTTCCCCAGCCCAAGTAGCCCTGGGGAGCTGAGGGGAATGCTCTCTCCCCGTTCCCAGATGCAGATTGCTTCAGAGGGAGGGAGAGGAAGTCCTCCAGGCTAGGTGCCTGCCTGTGCAGCCCAGCATGGGGGCACCAAGGAGCCCTACCTTAGGAGGCTTTTCCCCACCCCAGCCCAGGGTCCCCCAACCCAGGGCAGCCCCAGGGAACTGAGGGGGATTCTTCTCTACCCCAACTGCTTGTCTTAGTTGCTGGAGTCTCAGGGATAGCCCAGGGAGTGAAGGAAAATTCCTCTGCTCCCCTGCATTAGTTTTGTCTCAGACTCGCAGCACCTAAGGAAAAACTAGCTGGGGAGGAGCAGGAGAATTTCCCTCTGCTCCTTGAAGTTGCGTGAGACTCACAGGGGCTGAGGCAAGCAGCTCTGCCCTTCCAGAGGAGTAGAATTCCCCTCAGCTCCCTGGGGCTGCCTGGGGCTGGGGGACCCTGGGCTGGGGTGGGTGGAAGCCTCCCAAGGTGGGGCTCCCTGGTGCCCCCACACTGGGCTAAATGGCAGGAACCCAGCCTGAAGGACTCCTTCTCCCTCTCTCCTGTGGCAGCTGCTGAAACAATCAGCAGCTCAGAAAGGGGGAGGAAGAAGAGGAGAGACCTGCCAGGGGATGAAAAGCCCTCATGACAGGGGCTTTCCCTCCCACTATGAGCTGTGTAGACCCTGGCTAGAGTGGTCTGGGGGTGGGGGCGGTTTATTCCCCTGCCCCCCATGCCTATGGACTGACAGGTGCAGACAGGAAGCAAGCTAAGGAGCAAAGGGGTAAGACAGTCTCTGCTCCACAGGAGCAGGCAGCATAGCTCAGGGCTGCAAAGCATCCTGGGATGCTGGGGGACTGTGAATTAACTTGAACCAGGAAGGAATCTGGGGCAGAAGTTCTATAAACTGGTTTGACCTAAATTATCTAAGTCTGATACTGTATCCAACCAGGTTTAACTTAAACTGGTTTTGGTCATTTTAAAAGTGGTTTATGTGCATTGAACTTCTGTTCAGTTACAGGTTTAAACCAGTTTCTGATCACTTAAACTGGTTTGTGTGTAACTTCAGCCCCTTGCCTAAGAGAAAATATTAGCTTCTGGAGTCATGTTATTATATGAGGACCTGATTTTAAAACATGCCAAGTTTCTAGCTCTCAATTTTGTGGGGAGAAAGTTGCAGGTGTGAACCTTAAACCTTAAAGGCTCAAAAATCAGAAGTCAAATAAAAAGCACTTGGGGGGCACGTCTACATGAGATGTTTACTACTCAGTAGATTAATTAGCTGCAAAGTAAATGTTTCAGTGTCTGCATGTGCTCCCCTACTATGCTGGTGTAAACCAATTTCCTCTATAGCAGGATAGTACTTGTAAATATTATCTTGCAGCAGCACACATGTAGACTCTGCCTCAGCTGGCTGGGGCACGAGGGTGCTTCAGTATGGGGGCTGCCTGCTGGCTATCCCTGCACTGAAGCAGTCTTATACCTTAACCAGCCCTTCCACAGCATGTTTAGCTGAGGTGACCAGCCCCAGGCTGGCAGGCTAGTCCCCCAGACCCTCTGCCATCCAGGGCTGCTCCAACCCGGCTCAATGTGCTGCACTCCTGGGCCCACATTCAAGTGGCAATAAACTCCAGAATGTATTACTCCAGAGTTTATTGCTCCCAGGCGCATGTTCAAACGATGCGCCCAGGTGTTTATTGCTCCAGAGTTTATTGCTTTGAATTAATTGCATGTGTAGACATGCCCTGTGTGCATAATTTTAAAGTCCAATGATCTCTGAATACATGGAGTCAATAGGCCTGCAGCCTTAGTGATAGGTCTTGTCTTTAATATTACTGTAATACAGCACAGACTCCTACAGACATAATGTGATTTGTGTTCTTTTTTTTAGGTCCTGAGAGTAGCCCTCCTGCAAGCCCAGTCCCAGCTTGCTCCCAACAGCAAGTCATCCAGCATAACACCATTACAACTTCCTCTTCTGTCAGCGATGTCGTAGGAAGCTCCACCCTTACTCAGCTTGCCAGTCACAGAACAGATATGAATCCAATTCTTTAAAACTGAATGGTCAAAACTGCTATGGGAGTGGTAGTCCTTTATGTGAAGGACGTTTTCAACATTAACTCAGCCCTGGAAGACTCCTCAATCCTTGAAAGACTATGGCTTTCATTTTTATAGTTATTAAAATGTCTTTTATACTTAGTTACAAAAAAGGGAGTTATGCAATTAATATGCTATCAGCTTGAGAAGTGCTTTGGTGCTTTCTCCAATTTTGGTACCAGTTGTTTATAAACTGAACTGTTTCTGTACATAGTCATGTTCCCTTCTTAACAGTCTAGCCTGAGGCCTCAGAAACATGGAGTTTTGTTAAATTGCAGCTTGTTAGCCAAAATGAGGCATACAAAGTATTAAAACAGAGTCAGACATTGGTAACTAGAAATATTAAGGCTATAAATATTTAGAGCATGCTCTGGTGACAGCATAATAAAAAATAAAGTTAGCTTTGTGATACCACCAGAACCTCATCAGGTATGCAGAACCTCTTTCAGAAATAAAAATGCTTATATCAATATATGGATCTCAGAACAAAATCACCCCAAATAATACACTCTCACGTTTGGCTTTCCACTTGCCCATGTCCTATTAATCTTTATTTTTCACATATCTTCCTTTCCCTTTCTTAATCCTCCAGCCCTTTCTTCTTCTTCAAGTTCCTCCTGTTTTTCTTCATTCTAAATCTCTCTCAATATTCTTCGCTGCTTTTTTTTTCTTTTAAGAATACTAATAAAGGGGGAAAAAACTTTAAACCCACCCACAAAAAACTGTTGGTATATCTGCTGCTCTCAATGCCTTCACTCACAGCTGGCTGAACTTTTGCTTTTTAAAAAATCAAAATGCAGGAGTTTAATGCTCCTGATTTAGTGTTTTTAATAAACAGCAAAAGTTAAAAGCAGTTTAGTCACAGGTGAAGCATGACTGAAAGACAGCTGTGTTGATGCTAGGAGCCTTGTAAGATTCTGTGGTAAATGTCCATGGCACAGGACAAGAATAGCAAAATCACACCTAAGAATTACATCAGTTTTTTTACACTGTCAATCATTAATGTAGAAAATCCTTGAAGTATACAGCAGTTCAGAAAGAGTCTAATCACTCAGTAGATGAATTGTTCCACCATCGAAAGCTAACAGCCTAAGATTTCACAGGCTATAAGTAAAATTAATCAGATTGAAAATTTTGACCAGTTGGAAAAATATTATTATTCATTACCAGGTAAAAGACGAATTCTTCACAGCCATTTTTTAAACATACATGGACAGGATCCTTAGCTGGTATATATTGGTGTAGCTCCATTGACTTTAACAGAACAATGCCAGTTTACCTAGCTGAGGATCTGTTCTGTGTGAACACCAAGAACATTTTTTAGCTACTATACGCTGCCAGACTGGTGTAAATTCTGCTATACACTGTGGGTGATATTCACTCCTCAAAAGATGGTCCTTGCACTCCGTCTTTTTCTTTTACTTTTTCTGAAGCCACAGACTTGTGCTGGCCCTCTCCAGGGCTGACTTCCATCATGGGATAATGTATGGGAAATGAAGTGTTAAAGAATATGGTAGACAACAGCCAATTAGTTCTAATACATTGGCACCTGATTTTGTTCCCAGTAAAGTCAATAGAAAAGCTCACATTTACTCCTGTGCATAGGTGACTGGTAGGGAGTGCACAGGGGTGCACGTGCCCCCCCGACGGGGCCAGTTTCCCCAACACGGGCAACACTGATGCTGTCAGTAGGGCTGGTGCCCCCCCCCCAACAGGGCCACCACCATTGGTGGCTTCTGTGGGTGCTCTGCCAGATTCAGGAGGCACCAGTCACTCATGCTCCTGTGGCAGCAAGATTAGGTCCTTATTTTGTGACAGATGTTCAGACTTTTTTCAATTGCATCTTTTAAAATGAAACGGCTAATTAATGCTATTTGTAGTAAGTACTCGGCTCCTGAACATATTTTGTTCTGATTCTGAGTTGTTGTCCTCAAAGGCTGTTTCTGTTATTTGAAAGAAGAAATCATTTTTAAAAGGGTGAATTTTTTTTGATAGAAAAAAATGTTAAGAAAATGAAGCATGAGGCACTCTAGCAAATAGTGCTCAGGAGGAAGAACAAAATTCTGAGCATCATGAATCATAATTTCTGAATCAGCTATATCTTGGTAACTAACATTTAAAAGCAGTATTCTTCCACAGCTCTGTTACCACTTATGCAAATACTTTTGAAAAAAAAGATTTTTTTTACATGTACAGAGTAAATCATGACTTGATTATATAGTCTAAGAACCAAAAAAAATTAAGAAAAAATACAAATGTAAAGGATTTTCTATTATATTTTAGACAAACATATACTTTTAAAGTGTTTTAAATACTGAATCTATAAATTTTTTTAAAGTCCAGTTGTAACAGCTGAATGGTTTTGCTTCATCATGGCTACTAAAAAAAAACTTTGTTCAAACACACAGCTTTAAACAAGAATCTTCAGTTGAATATATATATATAAGGATATACTGTGTCCAAATTTCATATCTAGAACCTCACTATTCATCCAAAAAACAAAATGCCATCATAGTATTAATTTAGCTTCAATTTTTTTACCCGCATGGAAAGCACTTAAGTACATTCAAGTAGAAAAACAAAACAAAAATCTTCATAATAGAAGACTCTGAGCTACACTGCACTAAAATTAAGGTTTGGTTTTACTTGTGTTAAATCTCCTTGACTGTAATATTTAGCTGTTAAAACTAAAGCCTCTACAGTAAAAAAGAAAAGAAAAAAAAGAGAAACACACACACAAAACCCAACAAAAAACCCCACTTGCCCAAGTGTTGTTAAATTCAGCAACTTGACAGTTTGACTGATGTGTATTATATATAGCTCAATTATTTCTTTTTTTAATGCTAACTAGGCAAGCCAACTACACCTTAGCCTAAATGTGTAATTACAATGAACTGTCTCCCCTCTGTACTATTGGCCTTTAGGTATAATTATTATTAGTGATGTGGAAACAAGTAAAGGATGAAAGCTTTTTGCTAATGCTTCTTGTAACTCTAAACGTAAGGTTCATAGGCCAAAACAACATGCAACATATTAATATTAGTATATACATAAAAGGACCAACCCAACCAGGCACCCTATTCTTCAACAGATTAACTTCCACACATAAAATACTTCTGTATTTTTAGAGGACTGATTCTGCAGCCTTTACTTTAGCATATAATCCTTCCCTGTATAGTCCTAATGAAAGTTAAGGGTGAGGGCTGCAAGAAAAGGCCCTATGTCTAGATCCGTACAACATCTGTTCAGCAGAAGCAGCTTGTTTTTAAGCATTGTTAATTTAGGTACCATTTGCCATACTACTTGATTTGAGGATAACCTGTAGTTCTCCATGAGCTACTTACTGAACACTGATCTGTTTTATTCCTGCCTTTCTTCAGCTAGTTGCAGCTCTGAATCTGAAGTCACTGCCAGTGGGCTTTCAGAACGACCCCTGTATTTTTTGATGGGAGTTAATATGGATGAGCCTGGTCACATGTGTAGTTCAAAATGAAGCATCCAAATGTTAAACATTTCTGTGTACAACATCTCTCACTGTGTGACATTGAAAGTATGTTGGAAATCCCAGCCACGGATGATTGCAATATTTACCAAAAGTGCTGTGTTGTGATTCAAACATTTCTTCCCCCTCAAGTCAATTTATACAAGCCATATTCATAACACTGCCTGTGGGAGACAAGTAGTTTGTGTGCTATCATGGTGTGTTTTATAAGGACAGTGATGATGATGATTAATAGAAAATTTCATACTATTTGGAGTTAATTCCTGCTAGATAAATGAATGCAGTCCATGTTCTGAATAGTGGAAAGTCAATGGTAAGCGCCTCAAGTATATATGGATTTTAGTGTGTTAACTGATCTTGTCGTGTTAACTAACAAACCAGCTGTAACTGTTGTTAAAACCTGACTTTTGGGGGATTAATATTTTTTTAAGCAACAATATTTAGTTTTTAAAAAGCCTTTTAGTTTAGGTAGAATGTGCTTTTTTAGAAGCTAATAACACATTTTTAAAATAAACTTATATAGTGAATTTATGAAAATTCAAGAGGACCAAAGCAAAATTTAAACAGGAATCTATTAATTTAGTATTCATATAGAATTTTATAAAGTATTTATTAATAAATGTTATTTTAAACACATTCCATTTGAACAGTATTCTTGTATGGAATCTGTTTTGTTTTGTTTTGTTTTTTAAGTTACAATATTAGTTTTGCAGTAAACTACTCTAGGTGTGTGTGTACCTTAATCTTTCAGGGTCTCGAGCAGAAGTCGTCCATCCAAGATGGAAAGGTTTGCTGAGGTCTGTTGTATAGAAATTCCTAGGATTAAATGTTTTCTTTAAAGCAGCATCTGCTTTTTTGTATCAAACACAATAGTTGTAAACCTACAATTGTTTCCTATCTGTTTGAAAGTGTGCTCTCTCATTTTAGAAAGCGCAGATCAGCTAAAGGAAAATGATACATAGAACTGGAAAGCCTGTCATTTTTAGGCTAATTATATGCATCCTCAATAGAGATTAACCCTATCCTTGCTTCTCTTCTAATATCTCATAGTGAGTTGCACTATACTGCCTTACCATTGCCCCTTCTGTCCTTATCTACTAAGCAGTGTTCCTTAGCTTTAGACCATTGAAGCTCCATTATATATCAGAGAAAATTATTGAAGGGGGAAGAAAAAAAAAGATTAATTTGTAGACAAAAACTAAATGGTGCCTACAAAACTAAACCAGTTACAACTAATTAGTATCCTATTTCTACATTTCAATTATTTATATTATTTTAAAATTGCACTTTAGCTCTCACTTTCTCTTTCTTGTTCTCCCTTGTTCAATCATTTATAATATCTTGTAAAATGTTTGCACCAGATATATTTATATGCTCTAACTGGTGGCATATCTACAACTTGTCTCTCACACCCCCAAAAGGAGGACTGCTAAGAGAAGCTGAGTACAGCCAGTCTGCAACATGACTTTGACTTCACATCCTCTTCATGGTGGCATATAAATGTTTTATTATGCAAAGCATGTGAGGCATCTAAGCTATACTTATAATCTATCTCATCTTGAGAACCAAAGTGTCCTGTATAACATAGGTCAGGAGACTGGCTCTGTCGTGCATTATAATGCACTTTTGATTGTTTTCCAACTGTAGTAGCTACAAAGCTGCAAGGATAACAGCGGCCATACAATATGTTTGAATCCTAAGTCCATGAAATGTTATGTTACCTTGCAACTTAACTAGGGACAGCACCTTAAGAAAAGACTAAAACTTAAAGGAAAATCAAAAGCAATAAAATGTCAAATGAAAACTTATACCAAAAACTTGATCACCACCTGAAATGGTCGCCATAAAATGAAGATGAGAAAGTTTGTATACACACATAATCCCTTCCTCATACTTGTAGTTATCTGGGTTTTATCAGTGGCCTTATGTTTAGAGCTAAATTGCTTATCAGTGCTTGGTGTTTTCCCCAGAGTCTTCCATATTTTCCAAAACTACTTTACAGTAAACTTTAAAGATTGCAAAAGGCCAAATGTCATTAGGGGCTAAAAGATTAATTCTCTAAATGTAAATCTGATACATTTCCAAGATTTTCTTTAGAAATGAATTGATCATTA